ATATTCCCTTGATGTCAATCAGATCATATATAAGACATAATAATAGTTCATAGTTACTGTGCATTTACTGTGTGCCAGTTGCTGGCTAAATGCTTTACATACACCATTTCATTTATTTGTGCTAATAATCTTAGTAGTTGTTTACTAGTACTTACTAGACCTCTTACAAATGGAGAAACTGGGGCATAGAGACATTACGTAACTCAGGGTGACCTGCTGGGAAGTAGAGGAACAGACACTACAGTCAAGAGCTCTCCAAATCCAGCTCTTATATTCTGTCCTAAACCCCTTACCACCCTGAAATCAAGGATCAATCAGAAATTAGGTTTTTAGACACTTATAAACTCAGCATATAAATCATCAGACTTTTGGAAGGGTACTGCTTCTTTCTGTATTGTTTACTACAGATTCTGCAATACAGAGAACAGTGACGTCTGCCCTCCATTAATTAAACAAGAACTTACATTCTGCTAGCTATGTGTCAAGTACTCTTCTAAGCACTTTACGTACCAAATCTACTGTGAATTGTATGTATTTCTGTCTTGCAAATGAGTAAAGTGAGGTTTAAAGATGACTGCCTGAGATCTAGTAGAGAACGTAGCTATCACGGTAGCCCAGGCAGTCTAGCTCCTTAGTGGGCTCGTAGGCATTGTGCTGTGTCAGCTCTTACAGGGGCTGGAGAGGGAAGACCAAGCACACATTATTGCAAACAGCAAATGTGAAATGATTATGTATTTAACAGTGAAATTATCAAGCAAATATAACTTTTTATGCATTCAAGAGCAACATTGTATCTCAGAGTTGAGAGGCATGAATGAAAAATATGGACTTGAGGGGGGGGGGTAAATCTGCAACTAAAGGACACGGGGAGCACTGTAGCGGGGAAGGGCATGCCTTTAACCCGCACTTGGGTGAGGCAAAGACATAAAGTGTAGCCATAATGTTTGTACCCTTACAATACCCTGAAATAAAAAAAAAAATCTCATTTTATTAAGGAAAAACATGTAAAGTCAGGGCTTTCAAGTGAGATTTAACATGGCAAAGACATGGTATTTTTAAAATAAAAGTTCCTCAATTCTCACCGTAAAAATATCAGGTAACTTTTTTTTTAACCAATTCTAGACTGAAAATAAAATATTTTTTTGTTGTTGTAAAAAAAAAAAAAAAAAAGAAAAATATGGACTTGAGTAGCTCGAAAAATCTTCATGGATGAGTTGAGTCCAGAATGTAAATTTGTGTAAATTTGTGTAAAGGTGACTGGAATTTCCCTCCAATTCATTCCAGGGTCAGCTGAGTCATACGACAGAGATAAGGATTGCTTTTCCAAACAGTGTATTATGATCTATTGACTTTCAAACATTAAACATTAATTTAATAATTTATAAAGATAGGTGAGAGGGATCTACTTTATTTCACATTTTGAAAGTCAAGAAGAGGAGTTCAAGCTTTTAATATTATGGGAGTAAGGCTTTAATTAGTAGAAAAGTAGAGCTTTGGACAGGGCTTTTTTAAAATGCTGGAAACAGCATTTTTGTGACAAGAATCTGGAATTGTATGTTGCAGTCAATAGAAAGGCAAGGCATGGAGTTACAGAATCCTGCAATCCAGGTATCAGGCGGAAAAGGCAGGGGTGGTATGACAATGGGAATGCAGTGGAATTGAACCCCCGAGAGAAATGCTGAAGGAACAGCGACCCAATTGCTAGCTGACCAGAAACGGAAGGGGGGGTATATGTTTTACAAATATGTATTTTAGAAATATCATTCCTAGATGTATGTTTTTCTCTCTCTTCCCTTCCCCTCACCTCCAATCTCCTCCACGTATCAATTATTTTATTGGGATTAGAGGCCACTATTTAGGAGTTACCATTTTTGTATAAGAACTTGAAGTTTTCAAATGGCTTAGAAAAAGTTTTTTAGGGGGAGAAAGTCAGGTATCAGTTTTGTTTTCCTGGTTACATGATGTGCCTATTCTGTTTGAATAAGTTTGCCATTCTGTTCTGTTGCATACATGCAATTCTAAGAGCTTTTCTAAATTAATGACAACTTCACAGCTCAATATAACTAGGAATAGCAGTTTGTTTTCTTAACCATGGTGTTAATTCTAAAGACTCTTTAATAAACTCCAACCTAACCTTCCTCATCGTAGCAACCCCCAAGAATGGGGGAGGATTTTATGATTGAGTAGAGGTAACAGTGTGCCAGAATTTGATTGAAATGAAAGACCAAAGTGTAGTAAATGAAATATTACCTCTTAAGATGCATCCTGGAATCTATCTCTGGGGAAACTTGGTACTTTGGGGAGTACATTAAATCTTCAGACCTGTTACATATAAAAAAAAAATTAGATGATTTTCCCAAGGATTTATTTAATGGCTTCATTAATCATGTGTAATAACTGGTTTCTTCTTCAGTTAAAACCGGATACATATATTGTGTCCTTTCTTGATTTCTTTTTTAAAAAATCTTATTACAAAGAAGTTTTCTATACTTAATAACATATGACATCATGGCTTGGATTTCTATTATGTATTATATTATGTATAAAATCAGTCTTTATGATTAAATCAGATGGAGCCAATGAATGTAGAGTGACTGTATAGCAAAGCTATGGCAAGAAAGATTGCTTATATAGCATTGGAAATATTAGTGCTCTGAAGTTAGGAACAAGAAAAATTTGGCATCTAGAAAAAACAGTGTGTTTAGAAGGAATCAGAGGATTGCAGGATTCTGTAGAGCAGAGAAGCCCAAAGCATAGAACAGAGACAGGAGAGACTAAAACTCAAGAATTATTAAGTCAGAATCCTACCGCAAGCATCTGAATACCAGGAATTTGAACTCTGCTCAAAAGGGACATGCAGAACATGGAAATTTCATATTGACAAACTAAAGTTGAACCCACATCTGACAAGGTCTGGACTGCAGGTGTGATGGCACAGCTGGCATGAACTTTGTTCTGAACAGTGTCCTTCAGAGCAAGGGAGCTTTCTGCCCAGGATGAGGTCAAGAGAGTGAAAAATGTAAGTCAGAACTCCAAAGTTGGGGGATGAATCAGCACCTGGCCAGTTTGGAAGAATGAATTACTGGAAGCCATTCAATTTATAACCTTGATTTTGTTACGTACAGAGTCACACACGATGTTCTCCAAAGTGCGTGGCTTTATTTTGGCCTTTAATTAGTGGGTATCTTTCTACTAATTTTAGCATTTTGAGAGCAGACAGAAATTTAGTTGTGAGAGCTTTTAGAAAGTCTTCGAAATCTTAATATCTACCATAGAGCTTCATATTTCAAAGTTCTTTTTGTTCTTCCACCATCTTTGACTCGTATTCCTCCCATACCTTTCCTCCTGGGTCCCTTAATAATGATAACTAATATACTAACTAGATAACTTTAGATAACTAATATACTAAAGATAACTAATATACTAAAATACCTACAATGATTATTAAAATTAATTTTATTTAAACAATATTTTCCCCTAAGACTGTTTTCTCTTTGACCTATGAGTGGTTTACTGTACATATGCTTATTTCTTATTGGTAAAATTTGAAAGTTTTATTAATTTGAACAAGAACTTAAATGAAAAAATACTTATCAGCAGGGATGGAATTTGTCTAACTTAAGCCATATACAAAATCTGTATCTCCCAACTTGATTATAACTTGTTTAATGCTTTTAAAAATACTTTCCCTATTTCTAAGCCAACAAGGCATTACAATACCTCTCTCCACATTCCTCTTCTAAATTAGCTGAATCACCAAGTCCATCCAATATTTTCCAAATTGCTTACTATACTTCTTATTTAGCTATAAAATATCCTTTAAAATATTTCTCCATGGGATTTAATATTAAGACATTGTACCAGAAGACAAATTTTAGCAATATGTTTTTCAGTAATTGTTTTAGAGTTACATAGTACCTAAACAGAACCTATTAATATGACGGTGTGATTTTAAAAATGCTGTCTCGCTGGATGCAGTGGCTCACGTCTGCAGTCCTAGCACTCTGAGGTATCTCCATATTACTTTCCACAGAGGTGGCACTAGTTTGCAGTCCCACCAGCAGTGTATGAGTGTTCCTAGCTCTCCGCATCCACGCCAACATTTATTGGTTTGGGACTTTTTGATAAAGGCCATTCTCACTGGAGATAAGTGATATCTTCATTGTGGTTTTGATTTGCATTTCCCTGATGATTAGAGATGTTGAACATTTTTTCATATGTTCATTGGCCATTAGTCTATCTTCTTTTAAAAAGTTTCTGTTCATGTGTTTTGCCTACTTTTTAATGGCGCTGTTTGATTTTTTTCTTGCTGATTTTCCTGAGTTCTATATAGATTCTAGTTATCAGCCCTTTATCAGATGTGTAGCATGAAAATATTTTCTCCCGTTTCTGTGGGTTGTCTGTTTGCTCTTGTGATAGTTTCCTTGGCTATGCAGAAGCTTTTTAATGTGATCGGTCCCATTTATTTCTGGACTCCTGAGTCAGAATTCCTGAAGATGTTTCCTTTTATAGCTATATATTTACATTGTTTATACCAATGCTCTTCAGAAGAAATATAATGTAATAACATATGTAATTTTATATTGCCTGGTAGCCACAGTTTTAAAATAAATGTACAGAAACAGGTGAAGTTACTTGTATATTTTCTTTACCTTCACACATCCAAAATAATATCATTTCAACATGTAATAAGTATTTTAAAATTGTGATATTTTACTTTCTTTTCCTCATACAAAGTCTTCAAAGCCTGGTATGTATTTTATATTTATAGCACCTCTCAATTCAGACCAGCTACATTTCATGTGCTGTGACTAATTGAACAGCACAAATAGCCCTATAAACAGCAATGCTCCTGACACATTGAATTCCCAGCAATTCACCTTAGACTTCTTAGTAGTAGCAGAAAACAAGTTAAAACTGAAAATATACAAGGGTTTTATATTGTATTCCAAATAAGTAAAAATGTACCCAACTTACAAAAGTGATTGTTTACTTTACAGAGAGGAGTGCAATGGAAAGTATCAAAGAAGGAGTCTTGAAAATCAAAGAAGAACCATCTAAAAAACTGTCTGGAAATAAGTTTCAAGAGCGGTATTTTGTTTTACGAGATGGATATCTCTTTCTTTACAAGGACATGAAGGTATAGTTTTTGAACATGTATATATTTTTATTTGTGTGGCTATGAACATTCTCATTTTATACAGCTCTCAGCCATCCTCTCAGAAGTCACAGCTTGTAGAACATAAAATGTGTAGTAAACTGATGATTTCTTTCAGCCTCTGGGATGTGACATTAATGCATTCAGTAACACAGTGAAGAACTTTGTACGGCTTTTCTAAGCATCTCGTATTTTTTAGGACAGAGAATGACTTAAGCCCTGAAGAAAAGTCTGATATGTGTTACATAAACTAGCATATAAATTAGCATCTCAGTCAATAAAATTAAGAGAGAATGTGCCATACCCTAAGGTAAAAGAGACTTGAGGTTAGCTAATGGAAATTAATAAAAGGTGGAGTAAAATGGCATACCTAAAGTTAAAATAAATTTTATTAATATCTTTTTTATACACTTGAATGAATTGACTCATGTAATGTCATATTTATTTATGAAATCTTGTTGTAGTCCCTGTATTTTAATCCCTTAAAAGCTTTTATTAAATAATTGTAGAATGGGGAAGAGCACTATAGATAAAAAGTCAGTAGTAAATGATGTAACTATAAGGATATTGAACTTAACATCAGAAAATCTTATCTATGCTAAGAAGTGGGTTGCATGAATAAGTAACTTAACCTCTCGGCCTCAATTTCTGAGTCTATAATGGGATGATGATAGTATGAGTTTTAATGTTTTAATGCTTAAATAAGAATATATATAAAGGTTCTTTTTAAACAGTGAAACATTTTATAGATATGTACAGTGATAATGCCCATGATTAGGAGAATGTCATAATCATACAACAGAATACTACTCAACAGAACAAATGAATATTAATGCATATAACACTATTGGTGAATCGTTTAATACCTTTGAAACAAAAGCTTGATACAAAATAGTAAAATATGAATCTGTTCATAAGAAGCCTATGAACAGGCAAAACCGTTCTATGGTGATAGAAGAAAATGTTTGCTTAGGTTAGGGAGAAAGGTTGCTGCAGAAAAGGGTCAGTGGGGCACTTTCTGAATAGAAATGTTCTTTTGTCTTGTTTTGGGTGGTGGTCACATGGGTGTATACAGCAACATCTCTGCTTCAAGATTCAGGCAACACCAAGGCAATTATTTTCAGTGTAGAATGGCAGTCAGCAAGACCTGGAGAATACTTTTTTATGTTGAATTATAAAATTTACTTCAGTAAACATTGCTTGCATACTTTAAGTGAGTGGTGCTCCTCTATGTTCTGTTGTGGAGATGTACAAAGACCAGACTATAACATCTGTTAATATGTTATGAAGAAAGAATTGTTAGACGGCTTTCTAAAGCTGCTGCAGCGTATTTGTGTGTGTGTTTTGCGGGGGGTAGGGTTCTGTTCAGCTCTCCACATGCTTTAACCCCTTCCCCGGCATATTCCTCCAGCAGAGAAGTCTCCATGTGGGCATAAATAAATCACAGTAGCATTCCTTCTTTGTGTTTCCACCCATGTGTGCTTTCCTCAAGGACAATGGAATGTCCAGGCAGGAGACTAACTAAACAGCCCTGAATTCTGCAGCCATTATTAGAGATGTGTGTTAGACACTGTACTTGAACTCTCACCTTATTATTCCGCCTGACAGACCCAGAAGGAAATCTGTCTGGGTATCCAGCAGTTATTATGGTTTATGATCATTTTTCAGTTTTATCAATAGAGGAATAGTAGAGTTTGTAGAAATAAGGTACATAAGGGTTTGGGAGTATGTGAACAGAACACATCAGATTTTAAGGTTCATAAACTTTAGGTTTGTATTTTGAAAATAAAGGCTAGACTTCACATTTTATTATTCTAGTGATCTAGAACCGAATCTTATTTAATTTTGTTTGGTTTTCTGCAGTGAGCCCACTCACCTTGATCTTCAAAAGACTGATTTTCTTAATCCTTGTCCTTTGATATACATAATATATTGGTTAAAGATTGCTTTTGCCTTTGGATATCTGGCTGGAGCATTTAAAAAATCAACCTTTCACAGCTTTTGTGGCTGTCTTTATAAAAAAAAAAAAACTAAACTTTTTAGTCCCAACAAGAAACTGAAACCCTCAATTGTGTAGCAACACACAGTTGCTAGAAACAGCTAGCAGTCAGAGGGAGTAGTGATAGCAGTGCAGTCAGAATAGCAGCAACTGGGCGTTCACGTGGGCGCTCTGTGGGCAGCAGAGTTCTACACATTTCATTTGGATCATCTCATTCTATCTTTATGGTAACCCCATGAAGTTTGTACTCTTATCATTCCCACTTTGCAGATGAAGAAATAGAGCCAGAGACATTACGTAACTTGTCCAAAATCACGTACAATAAGTGATGGAGTCGGGATTCACTCCCAGGCGTCTGACGCCAAGGCTCTGTGCAGGAACTTACTGAGGAAACTTAGTAAGTGTGTATTATTTTAGCCTTGTGCTTTTGCTGACAGAATTTTACTTATAGAGGATACGTCCCTTCCATCAAATAGTACTCACTATTTTCAAATATGGAAATACACACAGTTCAGAGTTGATGGTGTTTCCCTCAAGCTGCTGCGCATTCTGACGTCTGCCACAGGAAAGCCCGTCGATGGAGAAGTGACCCTCACAGAGGGATTGTTTCTAGTACGTGAGATGAGGAACCGCGTGTCCCTTAACAGAATAAGTTTTAAGGATTTGTGTCTTTTTAAAAGGATCATCCTGCTCAATCTAAGATAATTCATAAAAACTGGTAGGCAGGAATAGTCTTGAGAGTTAGTCTAAAGACGTGCTCTTTGACACCAAACACATTTTTTTTTAATAGTAACCTCAGGTTATAAAATTATTCTCTAATTATTAAATGTTTGAAAGTTATATCTGTACATTTGTCAGAATAAATGAATGTAATTGATAATTTAATGTGGACATGAAGAAAGGCAGACGAGATTTATATTAATATTTTTTCTTTAAACTCAAACTACAATTATTTTTAAGAAATGATTTTGTTTTGCTGGTTATTTTTTCATGTGACTAGTCTGCCCCTGTTAATACTGATAGTGCAGTCATTGCAGTGTTAACTTTTCACATGATTTTACAATAAATAATCAATGGTGACATCCCCCAACTTATTCGAGTAAAGATTTGGCTCTGGTTCTAGCGGTTGCAATTAATATACGTGTGTTTGTATATATTTAGAAAATGATTTACTGAGAAGGGAGTAGAAATTATAAATTGAGAAGTGTATTTAAAGAGACTTTGTGCTAATTAGAGATAATTTATGAATGTTCATTAACAACAAATTAGGGTAATACACAAGGGAAGATATATTTCATTTTGCAAATTTTCCCTGCACAGAAAATGTTAATTGTTTTCTGACTTGATTTACATAAAAGGTGAGAGGTTTCAAAGAATATTACCATTATACCGTTAATGGTGTGAAAAAAAGCAAATGGGTAAGGGCTGCCATTAAAAGTTGCATGCACTAATAAGCAAACTCCTTTTAGCCATAGGAATAATTTTTTAAGCACACTCATTTAATTGGCTTAGTTAAAAACTTTACTTTGAAATATAGTGGCTGAAGCAACACATTACAGACTTTATAACAGTCTAGTATAGTGAACTTTTTGGAGAAATTCTCCAAAATTACACATACCAAAAGAGAAAGTTATAATAAGCCAACAGTAAAGTTATCTTGCCAAATGAGATTTCTTTTTATAGAGCTTTCCATTAAGATCTATATAGTTCCTCTTTATGTATATTCAGTTTAAAGATCAAAATGGAAAAGATTTCTTTCCACAATTGCTGACGTCCTATCAAATTATATTCCATTTGGTTTTTCGGACAGGCTAGAGTATGACGTAATGAGTTTGCATGCCAGGGATGGCTTGGGGAATCAGTTAAATTACTGCAGACTCCATTTGTTACCAAAAGTTCTTCAGTAGGCAATCCTGGACTCATCAATGTCCTGCATAAATGAAGACTGTCTAGTTCAGGCACAGTGTTTTTGGTTCTCAAATATGCAAGTCCCGTCTTCCCCATACTGCTGGAATTGCTGTCTCTCACCCTACCCTGCTACTGCAGTTGGGACTGTGTTGGGACATTAACCTCAGTTGTAATCTGATTTGACCTCTGACAAAGGTGGCCAGGAGTCACCTCTGTTGGACATACTCCTAACAGTCAGCTCTTCTCTCCTAGAATGTATCCTATAGTGGGGTTTTTATTATCTTACAAAGCTACCTCACTGTTCCATAATGTAGACAGTTCAAATTGTTAAAATGTTCTTCCTTAAAATTCAACAAATTAGCAGGCTACGAAAATCAATATCCAAAATTATGTCCGCAGTTGGAGTTAAAAGAGAAAATTCATAAACTATCAGAAAATAGCCTTAACAAGAAGCAGAGGCTTATTTGAAGAAAACTATAGAACTTCATTGATAGAAATAAAATTGATGTTAAGTCTACTGATATTGATTTATAAGTTTAATATAATACTTTTCTGATTCTCAAAGGGAATTATTTTTATGACTTTGCAAAAATGATTTGCTAATTCACCTCAGAGTATAAATATATAATAATTAAAAACATTTGGGAGGAGGATAAAATGTAAAATAGATGGGAAGTATTTTCCCAAACAACTATTAAGGTGTAAAATCCAGTTAAAATAGCTTAAATATTATAATCCAGGTATAAAGTGAAACATAGAGCAATGGTACCATGAAGTCAGGTAAAAATTGTATATCAGGATTTAATTTTTGATAAATATGTCATAAATAGTGGATGTCTAAAGGAATGTTCAATAAATTGGAGTGGGATAATTGTCAACAGCAAAAAAGTAAATTTAAATTTTCATTTGTACTATAAAAAATTAGAAAAATTCCAGGTTGATGAAAGAATTACAGCGTACAAAATAACAACCCTTATAGCTAAAAGACCATAAAATTGAGTATTTATCAGCTATGTGGGAACACTTTAACTTAAGAAAAAGTTACAAAAGTCCAAAAGAAAAGATCAGTATATCTGATTTCATAAAAATAATGAAAGAAAACAATGATCAAAGTTAAGGCAAACAGCAGCTTGGATGGAATATTTCATTACGAAGACAAGGCGATTTCGTATTTCATGTACAAAGAACTAGTGCAGACACATAAGTAAAGATGTGGATAAATTACTGACCACATCAAAACTGAAAATGGCTAGCAAATACATAAATACACATTTAACTGTAAGTAAATGGACCCTGTTTAGCCAAGATCTTTTTTATTTGCACAAATTTATAGGATACAAGTATAATTTTGTTACATGATTTTTAGGTATCCATCACCCAAATAATGGATATTGTAGTCATTAAATAATTTCTCATCATTGGTCCCCCCTTCCAAGTCTCCGTTGTCTGTCATTCCACACTCTATGTCAGTGTGTATGCATTATTTACTTTCCATCTGTAAGTGAGAACGTGTATTTTTTTTTTTTTCTGTTTCTGGGTTGTTTCCTTTAAGGTAATGATTTCCAGATCCATCCATGTTGCTACAAAAGACATGATTTCATACTTTTTATGTCTGAATAGTATTCCATTGTACATATACTACATTTTCTTTATCCAGTCATCCAAGGATGGACATTTAGGTTAATTTTTGTCTTTGCTATTGTGAATAGTGCTGCAATAAACATATGTGCAGGTAACTTTTTGCCCTAATGATATCTTTTCCTTTGAGTAGATACGCAGTAGTGGGATTGCTGGATCAAATGGTAGTTCTATTTTTAGTTCTTTGAGAAATGTTCATGCTGTTTTCCATAGTGCTTTTACTAATTTACATTCCTACCAATAGTGTATAAGTATTCCCTTTTCACCACATCCTCGCCAACATCTGTTATTTGTCTTTTTAATAGTAGCCATTCTGACTTGTTTAAGATGGTATTTCATTGTGCTTTAATTTACACTTCTCTGATGATTAGTGATGTTGAGCATTTTTTCATAAACTTGTTTGCCATTTGTATGTTTTCTTTTGAAAAATGTCTATTCCTGTCTTTTGCCTACTTTTTAATGGGATTATTATTTTTTATCATTGAGTTGTTTGAGTTACTTGTATATTCTGGATATTAGTCCTCAGATACATACTTCACAAATATTTTCTCTCATTCTGCATATTGTCCACTCGGTTGATTATTTCTTTTGCTGTGCAGAGCTTTTTAGTTTAATTAAGTCCCATTTCAAGATCTTATTCTTAATCATATTGCTAGCCTCTGACTCAGTGATTCCATTTCTAGAAATCTAGCCATAAGGGAAAAAAAATCTAAAATGTTTTTTTTAAATATTACCTACAGCAATAATAATAGCAAACTTATTAATAATAGTGATTAGGAGTAAATTCACCATGTAAATTCCAGGCCTTTGGTCACTACAGCATTGTTCTTGATCATCTTCCTGATTACTTTTTCTCTATATTTTCTTTATATCCTCCTAATTTGTTTGCTCTATGAAAACTAATTTTAATTTTATAAACATATTTCACCCCCTTTGCTTTTTTTTGAGGAAAAAATGTCTTAACTATCTTTATTGATATCATTTCTATTCATCCATCTATAACAGCTCATTAAAATCCATGTTTCAAATATCTTGGATTTTTCCCTAGTAAGTGCCAGACTAATGAAAGTATTTTCACATACATATTTTATTCTTACATATTTAATATATATTAATTTGAAATTTTTTTCACACAAGTCTATGGCTTTACTACTTTTCAAGACAAAAATCACATATTAAAATACAGACTATTCAAAACATAAAAGTACACAGTTGTCAAGAATGTGCTTTATAATATAGATCTTGCAGACAATACAGATTATACTATGACCTGTCTACTTGGAAACAGAAAGCAGTGTATTATACTGAATTCTTGTGTCAGGTGCACAGGAAAACTTATTTACAGTCCTTCTTTATAAGATAAATACCAAACTATTTCCCACATATATTACAACCATATTTGGTTTAAAAATCACAAACTGATAACATATAAATACAAAATGCTAGGAAAAGTTTAGTATATAAGGGAAAAGGCATATACTATGCATTGTATTACTTTTCAAATTTGACTGCTTTCATAAAGACACTGTGGTAGTATTTTAACTTATGTAGAACTTGGTGCTTATTTGAGCTGTGTATTTGCTACACGGGCTTTTGTGCATTGTCGGGGCTGCTAACAAACATCCATGCTGCAATTTCTATGAAGCAACGTGTTCTAAATTTATAATAATAGTAGCTGTTATTTCCTGTGAGCCTCTTTTATGCCCATTACTGGACTAAACACTTCATAGGCATTTTCTTGTTTAATCTTTACAATAATCCTTGACAATAACTCTTTAATTTCTCATTTAATCTTCACAATAACCCAATGAGGTTGTTAGTGTTTTTATTATCCCTATTTACCAGCAAGAAAATGAGGGCAGAGGGAAGTAAAATGTAGTCAGAAGCTCGCAAGCCAGACTTCCATCCAGGTCTTTATGACCTAAAACACCTTGCTCTTAGTTATAAATGCTATCTGCATACCAGTTTGAAGAAAGAGATTTCCTTGAGAATTTTTAGGATATGGGGAATGTTATATTCTAAATTAATTCCATGGTTAGTATCTGTATAAAATCTATTACAGGGGTATCCAAGGGTAAATAATGAAATGTGTGAAGTTTTGATATTAAGTTTTTAGATTAGAATATAATGATTCAATTTTACTTCCGTCAGACAAGACAGAGGTAATATGTTTTCCCTGAGAAAACATAGTCACAGATTTTTAAAATTGTTTAAATATTTACTTATACTTGAATAAATATGTTGGGAAGAGTGTGGAGAAAATATAATCGATCTATGACCAACTGTAAATTTTTATAATCTACTTTAATGAATTATTAGTGATAATTTTCATGAATATGGAAATGTGAGATAGTTCAATATCTGCCCAGATTTACAGTGTATTTTTATAATTCTGAAATTCAAAAAGTGCATAAAATCACAACTCATTTGGTGTAAAATCAGAACCAAAACAACATGGAGATATTTATATTAAAATAATAGCTTTTATTTATTAATCTCACACTGTATGAAATGTCATGCATTTAAGTACAGAAATATGAATATATTTGAATACAAGGTACTATCCCAGACAGTATTGGAGGTGTGTGGAGTTACATAGCATATGGCAGACGCATCGTATTTTATTGCATTGTATTGTATTTTTAAAATATGAAAAAAATCACTTCTGATGCACATCTGACCCCAAATGTTTTTCAGTAAAGAAATATGGAGCTGTGTGTATGTGTGTGTTTGTATATACACATATACAAACATACACACATGTACATATCCAAAATTATCCATTTAAATATATGTATTTGATTACATGGTAATCAAAGCAATCTTTATTTACTAAAGCTTGTTCATGAAACATTAAAGAAACTAAAAAATTCTAAACCCAGTCGTAAATGCTTAAGGAAAATATAAGGAAATTTATAAAATCTGTTTAATTACACATTATTTTGTTTTCCTTACAGAGTAGTAAGCATGACAAAATGTTTTCCCTCGGTTCAATGAAGTTTTATCTTGGCGTGAAGAAGAAAATGAAGCCTCCAACAAGGTAAAGTTTTGAAGGGAAGTGCTGTTGAAAGGAAAAAATAATGGGAAAATATGTCTAAGGATTTAGGGAGCAGTAGCATTATTCTATATTTTTATAAAGAAAGTTTTAGATATTTCTTAATTTGCTTCATCTGTGGTAGGGTCCTATGAAGATCAAGAAACTTGTATGAGTAGATAAGGAGGCATGATGTTCACGCTGAGACTAAAATTGTCTCCTTGGTGATTATAATCTCCTTTATATAAAGCAAGAAATGGTGATTATAATCTCCCCTATAGAAAGCAAGAAATCCCCAGGAGACCCTGTCTACTGGGAAGTACTTGGGTTCCTCTAAATCTCCTCCTTGATCAGTGACATTCACAACCTGGGGGTGATTCAGGCAAGTGTATAACACGGGAGAATGTTCCGGGCAAGTCTACACACAGGAACAGGAAAGCAAATGCTAGAGCAGCCTCCTGATGCCTGGCCTTTAGAATGTTCTGTTCCTGGCTCTGTAATTTTCCCATTTTATTGTGCAGAATTTGGTACTCAACCCTTAACATATCAATGGTGGAGAAGGGGTGGACCCTTCTGATACATTATGTGCCTTTTTAACACTTAATTCACCCCCGCATTTGGTGTATACTACAATTTCTTATCACAAGTGACTTCGATTAGCTAATAAATGTTTGCACTAATGCTTAGTGTCATGAAACACCATTTTAATTAACTGTATGTGCCTCTTTCTCTTCTCAGAGAGTCCCGCAGCCCCATCCCATGGCATCACTTCTTCCCTTTGTCTCCCTTAAACCTGGATAAATTTATAGCCAAATCCCTCAACATTTACATTCACTTCTAGCTAAATCATACCCATTGAATCATCACTTGCGGAATCAGTTCTAGCATACATTCCACTATTAAATCTCACTTCCTTAATGTCTGATCCTGTTTCAGTCTTGGAAAAATGTATAATTTTTAATATATGTTTGTGTTTTTTTCCTATGTGATGCAGTTGGGGATTGACTGCATATTCTGAAAAACATCACTGGTAAGTTAACAGCTGCTGACTTTTGGACTTGACATATTGGTGTCAACTTCAGTAAAAGAATAACTCCAGTATTTGCCAGATAGAACTACGACAGAAAATGTTTTACCTCAGAGAAATTATAATCTTTTCTAAATACTTTGAGCCTGAGAAGAGGAAAACAGATTTGTATCAGGGTGCAGGTCTGTTTCAATCGTGTGTATCCCATTTGGCAATGCCTCTTAGGAGAAACTGCATTTGACTTCTTTGATAGTTATGATGTAAGTGTGGAATCCAGCTTTTAAGGCGTAAGTGGGCAAAACTCAGTTTTGAAAAAGGATAAGAACTAGCTAAAATCAGATTTAAGAAAAACATATATTCTGGTCTCAAAACCTGCTCTTTCTATATATGTATTTTTTTTCCCGTATACTGTCACCAGTATCCCACCAGTCTCCCTAGAGATTGCATTAAATGTCTCCTTCTCCCTCGCCCCTCTGGATCTGATTCACAGAGCCATATCAGATCTGCCTCTTCATCATCTTCCTCATCCACCCATACCTCTCTATCTTTGGGGCCAGGCCTTCACTGGTCTGCTTGGGTTATTCCAGGAATCCTAAGTGCTCCTCATGTCTCCCTTTTGTTTTCTAGTGCATTCTCCACCCAGCCTCCACAGAGACTTTTATACACTGTATTATGTTTCTCTCTTGCTATGACTCTTCTGTGAATCTTGTCACCTACAGGAAAAGTGTAGGACCGTTGGTGTGGTGTGCGAGGCCCTTTAATATATGACTCCATCAACTTCATCTCCCATGGCTTTCTCCTTTTTACTCAAGGATAAAACAAGCATCTGTCTTTAGTACATTCCTTGCTCTTTCTGATCTGTGTGTAGTGAACGTGGCCCCTTTACTGAACCCTCATCCATCACCTCCATCTTCTCTCTGATGATCCAACATACTCAACTATCAGTGTTCTCTGAAACCAAGCTCAAATGTCCCTAAAGTCTTATCAGATAGTGCTCACCTCTGATCATTATTTATTTCTTCTTTGCACCTACAAGATTTTATATACAAGGGTACCTAATTAAAATGATTTGTGGAGGGAGATGATTTCTGGAACACAGTCATGGGAAGGGACAACGTTTCCATGAAACATTGAATGAAGGAAGCAAGCATTGTCTAGAAATTTCATTTTAAACATGTCTTTTCAACTCAATTATTTTAAATAATACAGGAATACAAAAAATATAATTACACTGAAATATCCATTATGTTGGTCCAGTAGCAGTTATAAAATTTTCTTCTTATGGAAAGCAGCTGTCACCTCACCCTCAAGTCTGCTGTTTCTGTGTTTGTGCTCAACTTTATTTTTGCTTTTTCTCACTGTGTTATAATTTATTTGTTAACATACACAGCTCCCCTAATGGACCACACAAGCCTTGAGGGCAAGATCTCTATTTTATTTAGGCTTTCAATGAAAGGTTCCTGAATCAGTGTTATTGGATATGCAGCAGTTTCTCTTGTAGTTTCTTTTTCATGAGTCTGTGGGTATTAGTGTTTATAATCATAGTGACGAAGATTGTATCTAAGCCTTTTTTAAAAACCTGATGTTAAGAGAATGCACACATATTTTTCTTCTTAGGTTCAGAGTATCCAGGGAAAAGATGTTTTTACCATCTCATATCTGAAAAAGCAAAATGGCATTGACCTTTCCACCTTTCCAAAAATACTGCTGATCATTTTGTAGCAGTTACCAAAGCCTTTAGCTATATTTTATTTAAACTAGCATATTTACGCTGTTACAATATTTTGATATCGTACACTTAGCAGAAGACTGAAACAACTTGTACTGAAATATTCCACCTTGATTACATTAGGTCATTACTCAGAAACCCAGAGAGATTTCTGATGGCTAATTCACCAAACAAATACACTAGAGAATACTCAAGTATCCTTTTGAATAATACGTTTCACAAACCTTGTTTTTCAGGTACCTGTGTTGTGATAGTTCACAAACTCAGATGGAATGGATGGCCAGTGTCTTTATTGCCCAGGTATGATATTGGTTTCAGCTCTCTAGTGGAGTATAATAACTTTGTTTACAGGGAATATTAGTGTGGTGCCGATTTTCAAAGAATTTTTAATAAAAGTTTTAGATGTATACAATTGACATAAACTTTTATTCTCCCATTCATTTTTGAAAAATAGTGTACAAAAGTCCAAATTTACCTATTACCTTTTGAAAGAGAGTTTATTCTTTTCCCGAAGCTCCTTTTCTGCCAGCCCCACACCTCGTTGGCTTAGGAGAGGTGCGTTGCTTTAAGACGGTTGTGTAGGAAAGAGGGAATTATCTAAGCAGTCGTCATGCTGGAGCCCCACATAGATCTTCATTTAGAAAAGTGCCCTGTTTCCCTTCTTGTTCTCCACTCTCCCCACCTCTGCCTTTCCAGAAACAAGGACAAGAACCTACATTTCTTTAAAACTTACTGTGTTCTACATACTTCATAAGGGTAACTTACTTATGTTTTCCTTGCAGCAAACAGTGCATGGCGTTGTTTGGCTTTACAAAATGAAGGTTCCGTTGATGGCTCAGGAGCATATATTTAGCTACTAGTTTAAACTCAGGGTGTCTGAGGCCAACCAATGCTTATCCTCAGTTCTGCGTTTGGCCTCCTCCCTAGAGGAGGACTCACCCTTTTGGGGAAGGGTTAAATAGTCCCATTAATTGGATTGGTTTCTTTCCCAACCTTGTCTTGTTGAATTCCCACCAATGTTTCTCACACAGCATTGAAATTCATTGGTAACGATTAAGTTGCCATTCTTAATTAGTGAGGAGGTACTTTCCTGTTTCTCTTATAAAGAAGTAGTTAACTTACCCCAAAATCTAGTTCTTATTTGTTTTGAAAACCATTTTCTCTGTTCATTTAATTTATTAACCTTTCAAGTGGTTAATAAACATGACTCTTTTCAGCGTGTCTTTACTGTTACTACCTGGGAATATATTTGCAGAAAGAGACAGGCTGCTAACTTTTTAGAGCCTTTTTTCTTCTTTTTTGTAACTTTTTAAAATTCAGATATTTAAACTCTACCTTTAAAAAATTAGATTCGAAGTATGTTAGTAAAGTTGGGATCATAGAATCAAAAGCTATTACAATGTCTGTTTGTGGTACAACTAAATTGATGTTTTTGTCTCTATTATTGAAGTCAGTAGACTCTGTAGTTGAAAGTCAAGGCATGAAGAGGCAGGAAGCAGGGCCTGCACACAACCATGTTATTTCTCCCGGTCTCTCGTACCTTCCTTGTCCTGGTCCCAAAGACTTAGCCCAGTTACGTTTCCTCTATTCATTTTACTTCTTGGGATTATTCAGCTCCTCCCTTAAGATAAACACAGAGACCTTCTAGGATTTAAGGATTTGTGGCTCATCTCTGTATGGAAACAAATAGCAAAATAGCAAATGTTAATACATACATTAATACTGTACACGCACAAATACACATGCTAATTAACAGTAAAAGCCCCTTACAATGAGCTCTCTCTTCTACCTGGAATACTTTTGTAATATCTGTCCTCATCCTCACCGCTGCCTTAAAAGTCCTCTAGATTTTAGCTTAAACGTCACATTCTCAGAGAAACTTCCCCTGACCGTCAGACCACCAGACCTTCTGGCTATCACCCTTACCATCCTGCACTCCTCCACTGTAGCACTAATTTAAAAACATATGTGTAGGCCAGGCGCGGTGGCTCACGCCTATAATCCTAGCACTCTGAGAGGCCGAGGTGGGTGGATTGTTTGAGCTCAGGAGTTCGAGACTAGCCTGAGCAAGAGCGAGACCCCATCTCTACTAAAATTAGAAAGAAATTAATCGGACAACTAAAAATATATAGAAAAAATTAGCCGGGCATGGTGGCGCATGCCTGTAGTCCCAGCTATTCAGGAGGCTGAGGCAGTAGGATCGCTTGAGCCCAGGAGTTTGAGGTTGCTGTGAGCCAGGCTGACGCCACGGCACTCTAGCCCGGGCAACACAGTGAGACTCTGTCTAAAAAAAAAAAAATTTGTGTAATTAGTTACTTCATCTACCTCCCCTACAAAAATTCCCTGAGAATTCCATGAGAAAGGGAATTATTGACTTGTATGTGAAATATTTCTAAAATAGGAAAGAGGGGAAGAAAAATAATCAGATAAAATTTCAAATGGATATCAGTGTGATAACATGAAACAATCAATAAAATACGTTGGATAAGGAGAATGAGTGTGGCTGAGGTAAGGAAGGACACTAATTCAGAAAGGTTCTCAGGGAATAATTTTATGAACCGGTGACCAGTGAGCTGGGCTGAGACCCGTGTGAAATGAGGAGGTGAAACATGCAGGTGTCCAGGAGGGGCCAGTCCTGAGATGTCACGATCTTGGTTTATTCCATGAACATCATGAAGGGAAGATGTGAAGAGATGTTTAAGAGTTTGAAACAGGGAAAGGATATTATCTATTTTAATTAAAAAGAAATTTTGGTCACATTGTTGAGTTTACCACGTAGGGGGTCAAAGATGGAAGCAGAAAGAACAGCTACACGAAAGATGTAAGCTCAGACTAGGGTGGTATAGTAAGACATATTCAGATTCAGGAATGTTTTGAAGGGAGAGCCAATAAGGCTTTCAGATTCGTTGGCTATAGCAGTTTGAGAGAAGGGGTGGAGATCAAGAAAGATCCCTACATTTTTGGCCCTGGGCAACTTAGGAATGTCAGTGGGATTGTCGGAGATGTAGAAGGAAATTGAGAGTCCTGTTTTGGCCACATGAAATTTAAGATGACTGTTTGATACACAAATACACATGCTGAGTAGCAGGTTGGATGTTTGGATCAAAAACTCAGGCAAAAGTTTGGGGCTGAAATGTAAATTTGGAGGAAGTCAGCACTTAGATTGTATTGAAAACTATAGGATTAGATGAGATGTGGGGGAAAGGAGGGGAGAGAGAGCAGACAAGCCCTGGGGCATTTCAAAATTTAAAGGTTAGGCAGAAGATAAAAAACAGGAAAAGAAATGATAAGGGGTGTTGAAGGAGGAAAGCCAGGCAATGGGTACAGAAAATTCTGTCAAGTAATTTGCTATGTAGATAAATGAGGTTGTGACTAGATAGGAACAAGAGGTCAAGGTAGATTTTGAGGCTTTGATTTGTTTGTCTTTAAGATCCGAGAGTGTATCCTTTCATATGTTCTGATGGAGACAATCCAGTAACTGGAGGAAGAAATTGATAGAGAAGGAGAAAGATTATTAAACCAGCAGAGACCCTGAACAGACACGAAGCAATATGATCGAGTACACAGTTGCTCATCGTTGCTGAAAGTCATTGCACAACAGAGAGTGTGGCACATTTATTCTCAAATTATTGACTACATATTCTGGCCCAGTGCGCAATTAGAGATATGATTGGAGAAAAGGTATTTGCAATCAGAGCAAATACTGTCTGCAAGAAAAAAGAAGCTCATTTATATGGCTGCAGAAGCAGGGAGATTGGCACATTTCATCACATTTTCTTAAGTGATTACTAAAAAATTTTTTGAATTAAATCAATGAGTTCACTACACCTAAGGCAGGGAGGGATTTTAGGAGTGTAATGGAAGAGGAAAAGGAGAGAAATAATCTTGAGAGAGTGAGGAAGCCAGTTGTCCTAGAACCTCAGGGTAGTGCCAAGGGTTCACCTGAAATTTAAGGTTAACTTGAAAGTGAGATGACTCTACAGAGTAATGTTCTAGTTTTGTCCTCCATCAACTGGCAGGCACCCATGCAATGAGTAGAATCGTGTTCAACTAGGTTTGGGGTTTTGCCAGGCAAGTATGATAGAGGAAGAAGGAGCAAAAAAATAAATAATCAGATAAAATTTGGACCGGGAAGTGAGCGTACTGATGGACCATGAAATCTGAGCCAGGCTATGAGTAAAGTGGGGAAAAACGTGGCAGGAAGAATGGTGGTGGTCAGTGGATTGGAAGTCTCAAGGAATCAAAACTTAGTGAGTGAAACTAAATTAAGTTAGCTGGAAAGATAGGGAGGTCAAAGTTAGAAAGTGAGAGGCAGAATGGAGATTTTGGGGTGTTATTTTTGGGTGTGATTAAAGTAAAAGTATGATCTTCAGCTTTATAATTCCTTCTATGGACTTCTGAAGTCATTTACAAATAACTATAAATGTTAAATCAGAACATATCACTTAGATTTAAAGGTTTCTGCTGTTGGGAAAAAATGCCTCTTAGATCTATCCAGTGAGAACTAATTAGCCAGTATTCACACTGTTGTATATTATTTCATAAAAAGAAATATGTACTTGGAAATTGCATTTTCTCTTAGATTTCCCAAAATATCATTTAGCATATACATCAACCACTTAGACGTGTAAGTATAATTCACAGAATTTCCTAATGCCTTCTCAGCCAGTTTTCTCCCAGCCTTACATGTTGAGAATATCCCAATTATATAAGATCAATGTTATTTTTACCATGTTTGGTACCATGATATAAAAATAATACACAACTTGTAACTTTCTCATTGAAATGTTGCATAATCCACCATTACAGATTTGCTGAACCAAGGTAAGTTGTTCACCAAAATCCAAGTGATGCACATATCTAAGTCTGATAATAATATAACCTATATAGTAGGATCGTTGAGGATTATAGGCAATAATATATGTACATTCACAAGCACAAAGCCAGGCTGTATGCCCCTCAATAAAAATCAGCTGTTACATAGTGGATAAACAGCAAATGTTTGTTTAAATGAATTATTTGCTATAAAACAATACATTAAAACACTAACTTCAAACATGTGAACAAGAATCTGCTAATTTGGATGGGTATTTGCATACACAAAGAGTGCAATGCGCACCATCCAAGGGATGGACACGCTAGAAACTCGGACTTGGGGGGTAGGGGGGAGGCAAGGGCAATATACGTAACCTAAACATCTGTACCCCCATAATATGCTGAAATTAAAAAATAAATAGGCCAGGCGCGGTGGCTCACGCCTGTAATCCTAGCTCTCTGGGAGGCCGAGGCGGGCGGATTGTTTGAGCTCAGGAGTTCGAAACCAGCCTGAGCAAGAGCGAGACCCCGTCTCTACTAAAATTAGAAAGAAATTAATTGGACAACTAAAAATATATAGAAAAAATTAGCCGGGCATGGTGGCACATGCCTGTAGTCCCAGCTACTCGGGAGGCTGAGGCAGGAGGATCGCTTGAGCCCAGGAGTTTGAGGTTGCTGTGAGCTAGGCTGACGCCACAGTACTCTAGCGTAGGCAACACAGTGAGACTCTGTCTCAAAAAAAAAATAAATAAATAAAATAAATAAATAAATAAAAATAATAAAAAAAAGGAATCTGCTAATTTATCTTAAGAATTGAGGAAAATAAAGAGTAGGCATTTAGATATATAGTTTACCAAAAGTTTTTCATTTCATTAGAACATCTGTAAACTTTTCATTTTATACTGGTATTCCATATTTTTTCGTAGATTATTATATGAAAAAAAGTTTCCTTTTCCCAGTTTCTGAAAGGTTAATCTACCCTGAGGAGGAGAAAAATTCTTTAAAGATTTTTCTTTCATATCTCAAGGATTAATCACTCAACAGCTTATATTTTTACCTGTGGATATTTATCCCCATTGCAAAATTAACTTTTCTTCAGTCACATCTATAATTGTTTAGTGGGCCGGAATATATAGTCAATAATTTGGGAACAAGTGTGCCATGCTCTCTGTTATACAGTGATTTTCAGTATAAATGTCTGTGTAAAAAGGTAACATTTCTTTGGAATTCAACTAGATGAAAAAGTAACATTCTTCAAAAGGTCATGAAATGAGTCTAATATTTCTGATACCATGCCTTAGGTTGATTTGGGGTGTGTAAGATCAAATTGTTTTTACACTAAAGTCATTTTTGGTGTAGAGAAAAAATAAATGTGTAAGTACTTAGATTATAGGGCCTAGAAATGTAAAACAAGTGTATTATTTTTCTTCCACAAAGAGATTTGCAGGTTTCTTCAAATATTTTCCCCCTTTGGGTTTGATAAATGGTACAGGAGGCATGTGTTTGAAACTTAGAAATTGAACTGAGACCTCAAAGCTCGCTTTGCTTAAGAGTTTCATGTCCTCGAGCGCCGTCACCGCTACAGTCAACATCGTAATTACAAATGGCGTTCTCAGGGAAAGCAGACCGTTTGATGTGGATATATGGGAAAGGAGCCAAGTGGCTATATAACATGGTATATGCATAATAAAATCACACACCAATAGCAAGAAACTGTGTTTCCACAGCATGAAAATGATATATGGCCACCAGCTGGAAAGGAACGGAAACGTTCAATAACCAAAAATCCCAAAATCGGAGGTTTGCCTCTAATTCCCATCCAGCATGAGAAAAATGCGTCCCAAGCCAGGAGAAATATCGAGGTAGGTTAGAATTTTGTTTGCCTGATATTAAATTATAGCATTTGTTTTCCTATGTCTTAATGTGATTAGGTGTATTAATTACTTCATTGGCTTCAAAAGCATAGTGATAATTCCTTTGAAAAGCTAAGTAATAGTCACATACATCAAGAAAACATTATGAATAACCCTACACCTTATTAGTTTAATATCATCGACCACCCAATTACACATGCGCAATAATACTTATTTTCTTACTTCTGAAGTAGCCAAGAAATTTTAAATATATGTGTAGAAATCCTGATGATAAAATCACAGTCTCACAAGTTTACTTATAAAAACCCTTAGAGTGGGCCCAGGGCAGACTATGTCCGGAGCCAAGGTAACTAGACTTTCTAGTAACATAATCAAATTTCAAGGGTTTGGGAAGCAATCGATATCTCAGTTAACTTAAGAAACTATGAGATGACCCCTGAGCATCAATAAAGAAGATTTGACATCTTTTGTGAAGGTTGCTATTTGTTTTCCTTCTTACCTTGAGGACTGGGAGAACATAAGGAGCATCAGTCCTGACGTGAAGTTCAGTCTCCTCAGCAAAGGACATAGGCTCTCTACTCTCGAAACTCATTAGCCACTGTGGGACCAGTGCATGTTTCAGTGCCTTAATTGATTCCTCCACATGAAAAGAAAAGCTTTTAAAAAGTGTTGTTTTATCTTATTTGAGCCAAAATTTGGGATTAAGCTATTTGAGTCTTTTGCTGTCCAAACAGAAGTAACTTTTGAAAGACTAAAGCCTTTTTAATCTAGTGATAAGATTTAAAAAAAAAAATTGTACATATCTTTTCTTGAACATTTATCCCACTGTAAACTCCTTCTCTAAAAGATAAAGCTTCAAAGATAATGGTCCTTTGTTTCCTAGTCAGTTCTTCAGCACTGATATAATCAAAGGAAAGACTAAATCTCCACGAAAATATGACCTTGTCCCTCCTTCCTTTCTGCACCTACAGTTTTTCTTGGTAATAAACGGCTCTGCAGAGCTATGGGTTCCTCAGATAATCTAGAATCTTAAAATTGTAAGAGTCACATTTCCCAGGAACCCAGGTTAGGGAACACAGGTTGAACAACTGAAGCTATCACAGGGAGTGGAAATGCCCTACGGGGCCTCCAGCTTCTCCTGACATTGCCTTAGGATCAATTGTGGAGCAAAGCAAAAGATAGATTGTTAGGATCAAAATACCTCACCAGCATCCAGTATAGATGATGATCGAATATACAGTAGTTTATCAAGCTAATCCCAAATCCACAATTTCAGAGAATCTTTAGCATACTTAGATAGGAAAAGTGATGAACTAAAACTATGAGGAAATTGTTAAAGGCCTTTAAAAGAATTCCATGCAATATTAATTTCTGAAAAATTTATGAGTCATTAAAATAAACCAAGCTTTTTTGTAAAATTAGTAAATGTGGTTTAATGATTTGACAAATCAATGGATATATTCAAGAACTGTTTTCTCAAACAAGCTGTTGCCAGATTGGTAAATTTGGTGACTTGCCCTTGCTTTCACATGACAGTGCCTCACCCAGGCAGCGAAGCTTTGTGGAGGAGGTGATTTCTAAATGAGGTAGTGAGCCAGCTGAGTATGCCAGAGAAAGTAAGTTGTTGAACAAAAAGTAAAAAAATAAAAAATCACCCATGAAGAGCCAAACATAATGTTCAAGAATGTACAAGTGAGATACCGCCGGTGGCTCTGCTGCTTCCTCCCTGTCAAATCACGGGTATCTTACTTAATTCCGTTGTCCTCAGCTTCTTTATCTATCAGCACGTGGGGCTAACAAAAGCCCCTACCTTATATTGTGGATGTGATGATTAAATGAGTTTATCCCTGAGAATTTATACCTATATGCCTGGCATATATTTAACATATATTGAGACAAAATAATGAGGAACTTGGAAGATGATATGGGATAATTCACTAGTTTTCAAAATTGCCATTTAAGAATGACATCTGTAAAACAAACAAAAATGGCGAACAAGGAAGAATGATGCAATTGAAGCAGAAAACAGTGACATGAATCCCCTGTTCCCTGTTAGCATCCTGGAGCACAGTTTGATACACTAGAAAGAATCGCATTGATTTCAGAAAGGCCAGGCTGGGATCCCATTCCAAACTCTCACTTATGTAACCTTGGGCAAATTGTTATTTCTATTTCTGCATCTTAAAATATAGATCATGTACTTTGTGAATAATCATACAAAGTTTAAACATCCGAAGCATTATTATGAAGATTAAATTTCATAAGATTTGATGTTTTATAGTATGAAAATTATCAACTAATACAGTGAATTTAGTAACAAAAGTCATTTAAGAAAGTTTCCAGTGTGATCTGTACATATTGGTCATACCACTTTTTGGTATCATGGGACCTCCATAACCATTGGCCCGCATGTCTAGGTTTCATGGAAAATATGAAGACACAGACTAAAGCCATGTGAGTGATTTGCTCTGAGGACACATTCACTGCAGTACCTAGCTCTGGCTATGACAGTAGGAACTGTTCTCTCTGCAGGTGGGGGAGAGATCATCACTTCCATTCAAGCAACTCGTTTTCTCTAAACACCCTGTGACATGAACTGGCATTGCCTGGAGCAAACCAACTCTTGCTCTCCTACTTTCATACCTTATCTATCTCTCTTTTTAAATTATTAAAGCCTCCTCTTTTGAGGACGGTGCAGTATATAAACTGTGTCCTCCTTTTCCCAGTGTCCATGCCTTTGTCTTTCCTTTCCCACAACACGCAAGGCACCTCAGCAAACCATATCATTCGTGCAAAGAGCACTGTGGCTTCCTGTTCTTCCTGCCTCTCCTGTCCTGTAACTCTTAATAGTTCCCTTCTGTCACGTCTTCCCACCTTCGTATAAGATTGTATTATTTAGGCTAACGTTATAGTATACTTGAAACTTCAGCATTATGTGTATTACTACTCGGCCTCCAAATTCTGCATCTAACAGAGGCCCCAGAGTCTTTCTGCTGATGGTTGCAAGATAATGAGAACTATTACTCTGGTGTATAAAACCACTCCATATTTATCCTTAATTTTCTCCCAATTAATGGATGCCAAGTGAAACTTTTAACAAGATTAATGTTTATTTATAAAATCTGTTTCCTTTATTTTTACTTCGTTATGGTGAAATACATGTAATGTGAAATTTCCCATTTAACCATTTTAAAATACAGTTCAACGGCATTAGTTACATTCACATTATTGTTCAACCATCACTACTGTCTCTTATTACTTTGACATATTCTAATGAAACTTTGGAATGAAGCTAGATATTAAACCTTTTTTTCCTATAAGTTTTAGAGAAGAGGAAATACATTTAGCTTAAAATTTATAATCATAATCAGAAAATTCCAAATTTAAAAATTATTTATAAATTATATTCATGCAAATATTTTTATTCAGCTTGAATTTTTCTGCTATAATTTTATGTTTAGATCTGAAATTGTGGAAAATAGAACAAAATGTTATATATTTGACATTTTTTAACTTTTTTTCATTTACTCATCCAAAATTTATTGATCATTTCCTATGCGCAAGCACTGTACTGGGTTCACACTTCAGCCGACAAATCAAACAAAAGTGAAAAAGCAAAAGCCCAGTTTGCATTGGGTTGACTTTTTAGCAGGGCATTCAGACAATCACGGGAAATACGAATAGCATATCTGGTATGTTAGAAAGCAGTAAGTGCTGTAGAGAAAAACAAAATAGGGAAAGGTGAGGTGTTGCCTTTTAAACATTATTATATTGGGCATCTTTAATTACTGTACTGTTTATGCTACTCTACTTAATAGAGTTTTCATTTCATCTTCTCGCTTTCAAACATTCATAACTTAATAAAGTCTCCTTGAGATTTCTGCCTTTAATGCTTTGCCATTTTTACAGAGAAAATTTTGAAGAAAACTGGGCAAAAAAAAAAAATTTTTTTCCCTACACCCACCTGCAACCTGACCCGGTTTGTTGGGTACCTTTCTCTGTGGCTCACCTCCCTGTGTGCTTGGTTCTCTGTTGTTCGCTCTCGCATCTCATGCTTGACTGAGCTGTGTCTCCTTTGAGGATCTGACGAAAGCCCTGTACGCCAGCCGTTCCCAGTCACAGGGCGTCCCGTATGCCCGTTTAAAAGCCCGACTTCTGTCCCACTGCAGGTGTCCTGTCGCGATGCGCTCGGGCTCCTGCAGGCCCTCACGGTTCACTGAACGAATGTGCGCCCCAGTCCACTCACGCAAAAGTGGGTTTTCATGCACAAGTGTGTAAACATTTCAGTCTTTTAGAAAATATGTCTGGGGAGTTCTGATAGGCGTTATGTGAGGGGGAAATAAAGTTTCATTAGTCAAATATGTTAGAAGGAGAAAAAAAAAACAGGAAAAAGAAGTTACCCAGGTTTCTGTGTCACAGTCCTTCTCCGCTGTCTACTGCACCGGTCCGTGTGGCGACTGGGGAGGCGGGGCTGTGGCTCGGGCGGTTCCCAGCTCGTGCCGTGCAGACCTCCTTCCTCAGCACCGCGGGTGTAGCACCATAGGAACTACAGATCCTCGCGCAGATGCGCGCAGCCAGGCAGGAGTGAGAGGCAAGTTTGAAATGAGAGTCAGTTTGAATAACTAACCCCAAAGACATCTTCGAAGTGGTATTTTAAATGCACGCTAAAATGAACTTCAGTGGATTACCTTTTACGGATGCTCCTCAACTTATGATGGGGTTACAACCAATAAACCCACTGTAAAGTTGAAAATGTCATAAATAGAAAATGCATTGAAAAACCTAACCTACACCACAGCTTAGCCTAGCCTACCTTGGACGTGCTGAGAACGCTTATATTAGCCTGGAGTTGAGCAAACTCATCTGGCCGCCGGGCACACTGTGTCGACTGCTTGTCCCGGTGATCGATCACGCGGCTGGCTGGGGCCCTGGCGCTGCCGCTGCCCAGTCTGCAAAGAGTATCCCGCCACTTACCGCTAGCCTGGGAAAAGATCAAAATTCAAAATCTGAAGTATGATTTCTACTGCATGCATATTGCTTTAGCACCATCGTAAAGTCAAAAAATCATAAGTCGAACCGTTATAAGTTGGGGACTGTGTGTACTTGATTTTGTAGCTCTAAGATGAGTGCGTAAATTCAGACGTGCCACTTGCTATCAAAGTAAAGTTAGAACCTAAGTCATAGAAATAAGCTCTTTTGTAGGAGGCATCAACTTTTATGCGGAAGGCATTTTTTAAACTTAAGTGGTGCCAACTCTTGCTTTCCTGTGAGACATTTAATTTTATTTTTAGAGTGCAAGAGCAGAACTTGAAAGGCTGCGGCTCAGTGAGAAGCATGAGAGAGAGTCTGTGGACTCGAGCTTAAGGGAGAGGGCCTCCATGGTGGCCCAGTGCCTGGAGCACAAGGACGACAGACTCCGGAGCCGAACCCGAAAACATCGGAGTTTCAACTGCCTGGAGGACACAGAGGCTGAGGCCCCACTTGGACAACAAAAAGGCCATAAAGGCCTAAAGACATTGAGGAAGACTGAGGACAGGAATGGCAGAGCTACTTTGGACTCTGATCATAAGTTACCGTCAAAGGTAATTGAAGAACTTAGTGTGGTTCTGCAACGGTCAAGAACCCTTCAGAAAGAGTTGCAGGATGAGCAGACTCTGCAGAAAGAAATAAAATGAATTGGTCTCCCAATTTTTATTTTAATATTGTGTACAATGTGTGTAAACCAGAAACCAAACTATAAGATAATTCATAAGAATTTGTCTGTAGGCAAATGTGTCTCTCTATACTCAAGAAATTTATCTATACTTACGCATTTAAAGAGCATTTTAAAATATGTATATATGTGATTAAGTGTAAGATTAACTTTATTTTGGTCTGAACAAAGCTTGTAAAGTTCAATTGTATTAACCTTGTGTAAGAAGGCGTTGTGTTACTTTAAAGTAACGCCCTTTTAAAGTAGTCTATTACGTGGTGTAATTTATGAGCAGAAGTCTCAAACTGTACTGTATTGTATAAAATGCTGTGTTTAAATGAAGCCTATGAAACTATCTGTAACATAGTTTGCACTTTGAAAAACCTTGTATATTAAATTACCATATGTTTTTAGGTTTACATGGGGTCTACCTAAGGGAAAAGTAAGGGAAGTAAATTTAAAAGGAGGGAGGGTTTATTTTAGTGGCTGCCTAACAGCAACATTGGGGTTTTAAAAAGAGGCAAAACGTTAACAAATGTCCTACAAAGCAAAGAATTGAGCCAAGATTCATTCTAGTTCACTAATGACCAGAACTTGTTAATGAGAAACTGCTTGTTAAGAAAAAAATCCAGTGTTTTCCCAAGAGTTACATTCGGCCGACAGATGTGAATAATGGCGCTGGCCGCTCTTATTTATGGTGTCAGAGAACCAGCCACATTATACGTTCACTACACTTGAGCTCTTTGTCAGTGGCTGCTAAGAGGAAACTTACACTGCATTGCAGAGATTGTATACACAGGACCTGGCTTGGGTGCCATTTGCACTGTTGCTGTATGGAAGCAGATTTTTGGAGTTCTGAACTATTGGTACGAACAAAATTCATCATCACAGGGTGTTGTTTCTGTTGTTTGGTTTTTTTATTGTTTTATGTTCATGTCTTATTATTTTAAGTTAGGTTGTAATGTCTTTCTCTGGATTGCCAGAATTAACTGGAAGTACATAACATATGACCATGTTGAGGTATGGGGATAGTTTACTACACATTTGGGGGCTACCTGTTTCCATTTAATCTAGTCTTTTTTTTTTTTTTTTTTTTAATAAAGCAGTGGTATCCTCCCTGTGCCTAAAAATAATGAGAAAGCCCTTTATCTTTGTTTCCATATAAAGATCAGCTAATGAATTGGCAATTTTCCTAAAAAAGACAATACTATCTAATTATAGTTTATGGTGGGACATTTTTCATCATTTTCTTCCAAATTGTATTGGGTTTGGTGTGTTTCAGTATTAAAAATTATTTCATGCAGCTAAGTTTTATTCCTAGCATTTTTTTTTCCTCTGTATTTTTAAAGATATTTTTCTTGTCAGAATCTGTCTGTATACAAAGGCCCACAGTTCAGTCAGTCCACTCATGGTACAGTAATGTTCTGTTAAATGCTATGAATTTCTTTATTGCAAAATACTGACCACTTATATTTGGTGGTGATAAAAAATAGCTTAACCCTGGGTATGTGATATTTATTCTTTAAATCTAAATAAATTGGAATTTAAAAAAACCCACAAAACTGCCGGACAGTTGATGAAGTAAGTGGCACTATTAGGGAGCCTTCCTTTAAAGCAGGAAATCATGTTATTTAGAAAGAAAAATAATCTTAAATATACTATTTCTAATAAATAATATTTATATTTTTATGAAATATATATGAAAATTAATGTGTTTGGCAATGTTGGACAGTGGGAAAGTATCGGAGTTTTTACCTGCCTTATCCGAATTTTTCTCAAAACTTGAGCTTAAAATCTAATAGTTTCTGTTTCCCTTCCTTTCCTGAACAATTGTCTCCATTTTTCAAGTGTGAAAGATAAGGGCTAATGATGACATCTCATATATTTTGAGTAAAAATTAAAATTGTTTTACAAGTCCTCTTGAATGTGACTATTGTCTTCCTCCATTATCTTCAGTTGAAGGTTATTGGCAAATAAATAGATTATTTCTCCTTTTTTTCCTTTTCTTAAAATTTGAATTTAATATATACTTCAAACTTGCTCTATGATTTTTCCAAATGCATCAATATGAATATTGTTTTATTTTACGGGATGAATATAGGTAAGCATGACACAGATTGAAGACACTCTTTCATTTTTATAGCCCTAAAATTAATTTTTAAACAGGATTTTTAAATATTTGATTTCTAAATCATTACCTGATGATTCATCAAATTGTCACTGAGAACTCCAAATCAAGTAGAAGTAATTGAAGCAAAAATATGACTCGTGTACATAATTAGGTAGCTATTGATTTTCATTGTTCATGTAACAATTTTAATTCTAAAATATACATAAACTATATATTGCAAAAGGAAATATTTTTGAAAATGCATCAAAGCTATTTGGGCAGGTTATAGCATCCAGATATTTGCATGTTTTCTCAATGTTTTGATAATCACTCTGGGAAGAATCATCTTCTAGAGAGAAGATGATTACAGCTTCGCCATCTCATCAAAATTTGCACCAAGACTTTCATATTAGCACTTACTCAAACTTCACTTAACAGAAGAAAGAATTAGGTTTAAAATGTGAGCAAGTTTCTGTCATGTCTCTGTCATCACATTTATCTCTAATCAGGAGAAGCAAAGCACAGGTAACTAAAGTTCGTCTTTTTATGGTGTATGGTGACTTTAACATGTTTTATTTAAAATGTTCTAAATTATATTGTATATGCCTCTCTTCTCTGCCATGACCACTATATGTTGAATGTATATGATGAATGTAACATTTTTAATAATTCAGATACCTCTGCAGATTTAAGACTTTTATGAATTATTGGATTAAAGTTGAGAGCCCAAGTGTCCTCATCTGAGAAGTGGTAATAACTACCTTTCTGGAATGACATATGTGTATATATTACATACACATGTACACACATTATGGATGGGCCAGGTATGTGGGATAATATATATAGTAGCATAGTAGAGGTTCAATAAATGTTAGTTATAAATGTGTTGTTCAAGCCACCCAGTCCATGGCAGTTTGTTAGGCAGCCCTAGTAAATGAATACGCCACATTTTCTTTTGTGTTAATCTGTTAATATTGATATCTGATGAACAGAATACCCCCTGGTACTTGTAAGAATTAGTCCTCACAGTCTTGTTGCCCCAAACCTCAGGATATTTTCTAGCATTACATCAGAATTACAGATTTCATAATGATTAATGGAGGATAAGAGAGAGATGTTGAGACATATCTGCTGATAAGCCAGCTAGCTACTTGAGTACCAAAATAATATAGCATAAAAATTCAAAATTGTGGCTCAGCAAAATTAGAGTTTGAGCTTATGATTTTTCTTGTAAAGATTCGAGTTCTCTGATACCAAGAACTACTAATTATACCAGCAGAGTAAAGATGCTTAATCCTTCACAACATGACAGAATATTACTAAGCCTTTCAAGGAACAACCAGGAGAGGTTAAACAACAACCGAGAGAGTTGTTTAGTTAAACAACTGAACAATAAAGTAGGGAGAGACAAAAGTCATTTCGATCACCCCAGATGAACTGAAGGATGATTCTACAGCCTGAAGACCGGCTCAACAAAAACCTTCATGAGAGTAAAGTGACATTTGTACCTGTCTCACTGGAGAGGATCTCATCTCCACCAGGTAGTTCCTCATTTGCTCCTGTTTGCAACGAGAGTCTTTGTAAAATTTATCTAACCTGGTGCCTTCTCTTTTTGTCTTCCTGTTTTCTCTTTGAACCCTCTTCATTCAGCCTTTCGTTATCCATTGCCCTACCATAACTGCTCCCAGCAAGGTCAGAACAACCTCATTGCCAGCTCTCATGGCTGATTTTCGGTTACTGGACTTGACTCCTAATCATGTGTAGCATTTCACACTGTTAATCACCCCTCCTTTATGTAATACTGTCTAGTATTGGTCTCTTGGGCACTACTATCTGGTGATTTTCCTCCTTCACCAAAAGTCAGTCTTCTCAGATTCTGTACTGGGTATCCTAGATCCTAGAGGAACACATCTAATCTCATAGCCTTAAATATAGTACGTATTCTGACCAACCCATATGTTTTAAGTTCAGTCTGAACCTACCCATGGAGCTCCAAAATGTAATTCACATTTCCACTTGAATGTTCAACTAGCATCTCAAATGTATCATATCTAAAGCTCTTTACCTGTTCCTCAGCCTTTCCATTTCTAAGACTTAGATACAGAGAGATTGATCAGGATTCTTCAGCTAATGATTGGCAGAGCTGGTATTTGAACCTAGGCAGTCTAGTTCAAGAGTCCACATTTACACTTTGCATTAGATTGTCCAGGCCACCATTATCTCTTCCTGAATGATTTCAAAAGACTCACAACTTGTCTCCCCAATTCCATGCTGCTGCATGGAAAGAAGCAAGAGCCAGAGTAAACTTTTTACATAAAAGATCTCCTGATAGCTTCCTATTTCTAAGTTAAGATGTCTTTATAAATACAAGCCCTGAGATGATTGGTTCCAAAATACCACCTGCTACTTCTCAGCCACTCTTCACCTCACTCATTTTGCTGCAAGCAGACTGTTGGTCAAGATCGCCAGGCATGACAATGCCTTAGGACTTTGCACTTACTGTTTCCTACATGAGCAACACTCTCCCCAGCCATACACGTGGATCACTCTGTTAACTTCACATAGGTTTCCTTACTAGGCAGACCTCTGAACATCCCAGATAAAACGGAATCATCACCTTCTATCCCCTTTATCATCTTACTTCATAGGATTTATCACCAGTTGACAGTTTACATATTTATTACTATATATTTTAATCTACTTTCATTAGAGTGTCACTCTGCTAGTACAGACTCTTAGGTTCACCACTGTATTCCCAGCATCTAGAACAGTGCCTGTACCATATCCCATAGTCACTACTAAAACATGTCAAATGAATGAAGTCATGGTATAATGCAGTAGCTTGAAGAAGAACAATACCACCAAGAGCTAGAAACAGTAGATTAAAAATAAAAAAAAAGAAAAAAGAAAAAGCTATATAAAGGCTGTTGCTGAAATAAGGAAGAGAGGCGGCCAAATTCTGAGGAAGTAGGAACATTAGAGAAGTGAGTGGTCATTGTATAGCTGCTTTTAGGGGGGCATTTAAAGAATCTGTACACAAGGCAAAAAGTTGAGAATCTAGTCTTTTTCAGGGTAAGACATGCTTTTTAAAGACAGAATAAACATCAGAGTTTTTGTAGCCTGATGTAATTAAGGAGACAACATTGGTGACCGAAGGGACTAAGATCCCAGTGAGAAGGGCGGAATGGAAAACTGACTATAGCTGGTTTTCCTTTTATGACATTTGCTGAATTTTGATGCCACGCAGAACAGTAAGCTAATAAGCTCAGCAAACATCTCTAATAGCACAGTGGAGTTGTTTGTAGTCTCATGTTACTAAAGAGACGAGCGTTCAAGATTATTTACTATCATGGAGAGAGACCCTTATGAACATGTGAGCTCTCACTTGCAGGCATGGGAGAGCCATATGGTTGGGGCAGGTGTGAACTGGACTCTTGACAGGATGTCATCAAAACTGTCCCACCTCAATTCAGCTCTGTCCCATTGAATCAGTGTCATCACATCCTCTCTACCGAAAGATGAAAAGGTAAATCCTTTCTGGAGAAATGTGATATGATCTAGAGCTTCTATAATTTTTTCAATGGCATTTAAAAACAAAAAGCATTCAAAGATACAAGACCCTGTGACCAAAAAGCTAAGAGAAAAAATAGGCAATAGAAACAGATCCACAAGTGATCAAGCTATTGGAATTACCAAATAAAAAAATCAATGATAACCATGATTAATATTAACAAGAAAATACAGGAAAAAGAAAAAATACAGGAAAAAATTGGATAACTCTGCCAGAGAATTGGAATTTTAAAAAATGTAAAGTGAAAAAATTGAAGTGAAAATACAATGACTAAAGTTACATAGGTTTAACAGCGTAATAGATATGATTCAAAGGTTAGTGAATTGGGAGAAATGTTAATAAATAAATAGAGTATATCCA